GTGGTAAATCACTGACACTTAAGTAGTTTCTCCAGCAAAACACTCCAATTGCTTTGAAAGATGTTTATTCAAACTCTATGTTTGATCTGTTTATTTCATTGTAGCATGTGTTTTGAACACTAGAATAACGACAGAATTGTAAGCAAGCGACTCAATTACAACACAATATTATTGTATAAAATGTTAGTTTAGTTTAAAAGCAGTGTGGCACAATGGTGCTGAGTTGAGATTCTGTTTCTGTACTGAACCACTGGGACACTTAGAGGAAACAATTAACTTCATGTTGATCATTAGCAGAGTAATAATAGTATTGCCTAAACCATGGAGTTGTTTTGAAAATTCAATAAAAGGCTGGGCATGGTGGCTTGTGGCTGTAATCCTAGCACTCTGGGAGGCCGAGTCATGGGGATCACATGAGGTCAGGAGTTCGAGATCAGCCTGGCCAACATGGTGAAACCCCGTCCCTACCAAAAAATAAAGAAATTAGCTGGGCATGGTGTTGGGTGCCTGTAATCCCAGCTACTTGGGAGGCTGAAACAGGAGAATCACTTGAACCCGGAAGGCAAAAGTCGCAGTGAGTCGAGATCACACCACTACACTCCAGCCTGGGCGACACAGCGAGACTATCTCTCAAAAAAAAAAAAAAAAAAAAAAAAAGAAAGAAATTAAACAAGGTAACATATATAATGCAATTAGCACAGTGTGTGGCAAACAGGTATACTCAGTTGTCTCACCACTGTCCATGGTTTTTATCTAGTCAGGATCCATGTACCATTTTTGGCCTAGTAAGCCTGTAATCAACAGTAAAGCCAAGTCCCTGTTCTAACAGACCTTATAGCTAATATAGAACCTTCTGGTGTAGGGTAAAAAGCTATGATCTAACGTTAGACGGCCACGGTTTAAACCCTGACTGTACCACTTAAGCAGCTATGTGACCTTGGCAAGGCTACTTGACTTTTCTGTGACTGTTTCTTCATCTATACAACGAAGATAATAATTATTAGATTTGTTGTTAGGATTAAATGAATAAATAAATCTAGTTCTCCTAGAATGTTTCTGGTACATAAAATGTGTCATTTAAGTTGCTCACTATCTGAATTAAGCCATTTCCAAGCTATTTCTTAATAGTGAATTTCTCAAATTGGACTAACATGAATTAGAGATCCTAAGCAGTATTAGCCTAAACTAAATATTTCAACGGTACAAACAAAAGGCTTATCAAAAGCTTCAAAATAATGGCTCTTCAGGTCTTTCTTTCCTGTGAAAGTCACATCTCTGTAGCCCAGAATAGACAAAGCCTCCAAGTGAGGTGTTCATGGTTCCTCATACAGAGGGTAGTGCTTCAATTACAAAACATCTCCATTTTATACCCAGCACTGGACACACTATATGCCATTTTCCAGGAAGCCATCCCTTATAAATTCTGGTTCTATCTATTATAGGTAATCCTTAGTCCGATATCCTACTAAAGGCACAAAGACAGCGCTCTTCCTTCTAGCAAATATCATTAGTCTATTTACCCAGGGGAGGTAGAATTGCAAGGAGATTAGACCTGTTCACTTGTTATGGACTAAACATTGTACCTTCTTTCCACCCCAAATTCCTATGTTGAAGCTCTAACCATCTAATGTGGTGCTATGTAGGGATGAGGCCTTTGGGAGGTAATTAGGGTTAGACAGGTCATGTCTAACCTTCATGATGGGATTAGGGGCTGTCATAATAGGATTAGTTGCTATATAAACTGGGGATAAAATGTCTGTTTCTTTTTCTCTGTTCCCCTCCACAACACACACTGAGAAAAGGCCATGTGAGGACATAGTTAGAAGGCAGCTGTTTGCAAGCTAGGAAAAGAGCCATCACCAAGAACCAAATTGGCGAGCATCTTAATCTTGGCCTTCCAAGAACTGTGAAAAATGTTTCTCACAGAACTCCAGAACTGTGAGAAATACATTCCTACTATTTAAGCTACCCAGGCGATGGTATTTTGTTATAGTAGCCTGAACTAAGAAACCCCTTTTTGCTTCTTTCCCTCAAGGTCTCTCCCTCGTAGAAGGAGTAAATGAGCAAATGTATTGCAGGCCAGGTTATTTCACAATTTTCATCTACCCTTTTTATAAACAACTACAACAACAACAAAAACTTTTTTTAAAGTAAAAGGAAGAGATACATCTGTTATACTTTTCTTTCCATGCAACCCCTCAAAGGCACTCTTTTATTTTATAAGGTAAAACTTATACATGGTGCCAAAATCAAAAGAACATAAAAAGTCTAACCTCTATCTTTGATACCATCTGCCCACTTACACCATGACCCCAACCAATTTTATTAATTTTTGGAGAAAACACCTTGCTTCACCTTGCAATTTTCACCTAAAAATACCATGGAGACCTTTTTATACCGATTAAGAATTCCCTCATTCTTTTACACAGCAGCTTAATCTTCCACAATATGGATATTCTGTATTTGTACTGTAATGATCCAAGGTTTAAAAGATGTTTTATAATATGAGCTGTTGAAATTGACAACTATAACACATTTCTATGGCATGTTCCTATGTCATTCTATACTCAGTGTTGTCTGTGTTTTGAGGCTTCTATTTTTATTATTTTTTAAATTGTGGCCATTAGCCAACATGGGATCTGTCCTCTTAACACATTTTTAAGTATATAATACAGTATGGTTAACTATAGGCACATTATTGTACAATAGATCTCTAGAATTTATTCATCTTATACAGTTGAGATTTTATAATAGCATCCTCTCTGTTTTACATAAGAATATCAACATGGAAGTAAATAATAAAAAGTTTTCTATATCCATAAAATTCCCAATGGCCTGACTCCCCTCTCTGAAAGGAAACCCTAATTCAGCATTTGGCATTCCCATGAAAATAATGCCAAGAAGACACTCTCCTATTTTAACGCAATAAGAGAAGTAAACTGTTCCTGTGATTTGACACTCAAATAGATATTGACTCGAATGCATGAGAGGTAAGGAACTCATTTTTAAATCTGCCTCTTTTTAGCATTAAAAACATATAAATTCCTTTTAGCCTTGAATAATTGAAAGTGTGGGGATCTGGCTATTTGAATAGAGCAAAATGATGAATAGTGCAGGCTTCAGAGTCAGAAGGATACTGTGTAGGTTCCATAATTAACTCAATTGTGACAAAATAGATCTGTCACCTTAGGTAAATTTGCATAAGCCTCAATCTCCCTGTAATTTGAGGACATAAAATGTAGGTAAACAGGTTGTGAACAGGATCAACTGATATAATGTACATAAATCACATTACATAGTCATTACTCAATACATGGTAGCTTTCATCATGATCATCATTATCATATGCATCTATTTTATTCTGTATTAGATTCTGTATAAATTCTGGGCAACAACAATGTATATGACAAGATCTCTGCTCTCAGAGCTCACAGTACAGTAGCAAAGGCATACCAGTAAAGAAAGAATAGCTTTCATCTATGAAAAGACAATACACCAATAGACTGAATGCTATGCTCTAGAGAAGTAAAAAGTGTTCTGAAAATGGCAGTTTGTAGAGAAATGATCTTAAGGAGGGAAAAGGATCAAGATGTTTCCATCGGAAGAGATATCATATATTTCAAATTCAATTATCAGAGAATATAAAGACATAGACAACACTGGAACAATGCTGTAGTTATTTTAATTTGGTGGTGAAATAAGACTCTTGGATCTGACAGTCCCTTTGAGTCTCAATAGTTTCTTTTCAATTCCATAGATAGATCTAAGGGTAGTGGGAATGGGGTATATCCTCTGATCCTGAGGTTTGCTCTCCTGGTTTGTTAAACATTTTCCCACATAAAAGCAAAGTGTAAAAGGCGAGGGGGAAAAGGGTGATCCTTATCCTCTTCCATTTTTTGAACAGGATCCATAAATGTACAGGTTTTTAAAATTATTTTTGAAGGTGCTTAAATGTCAAGAATATTATGCTATGGATTACCACTACTGCATACACATCGCATACATCAAAAACTCAAAGCAAGTGAAAAAGACTTCGCAATGGCTGGTACAAGACTTTCTACAACATTTCCTACCACTGTAAGGCACCCTTCAGGTATTAAAGTTAATGAATGTGTAGTGTAAATAACCTACATTTACTTTAAACAGAAACTTCAGTTGCAGACAGTGGCCTGCACACCAACAGCAAACAAGAAAGGAATTTCAAGTCAGAACCTTTTTGGAGAGGAGTCGCTCTAAATTCTGAATTTTGTTGAACCAAGAGTCTCTTGATTACAGCTCTGCAATTCATGCCTAATAGTCTGCCAGAATATTTTATTGGGAATTGGTAGGCTTATATAATCAGAAATCATAAGTTAAAGATGGCCTTTTGTTGGAAATAGTTTATTCTAATTCTTATTCCCACTTCGTTATCAGGAACAGTAATTTATTAATGAGGAATAAGAATTAGAACTCGAAGAAGCATCAAACATTGTGGCAAGCAGACAATGTATAGATTCATACCAGGTTCCAAAACACTGCCGAACATCCTCCTCTTGAAAGGCTGCAAAAGAGTCTGTGTCGAAGATACATTTTAGAACATCAAACCTAAAAACTCAATCCTGGCAAACTAATATACACGCAACAAAATGCCTCTTTTTATTCCTTAGCATCTCACCACCGATTTCATTATTCACTTCTTCATGCAAGCTGTGCGGTTTAGCTTCAAGCTCTTCCTTAATTGCACCAGAAGTCAAGTCTGGGCGTTGGACATATACACTCTAAATCCTTACGCGTGGGTCTGTGAGCAGCCTTGAGCAGCGCAGCAAGTTAGGGGGAAGGTATCGCCAACTGTCTGCTCGCTTCAAGTAAGTGGCAGCCTCCATGGATCCATTACCCCTAAACCCACAGCCCCTGTCAGTGCCTCCGCTGGCTCAAACAGAATCCAAAGCAGGTTCATCCCTGAAATTCAGACTTGCGCCTGAAGTTACCGGTCCGCAATCCTTGGGAGCCGCAACGCTCACCTTGGAATGCTCCGGATCGATTTCAGAGCTGCGAGTAGCGCTGCTAGAGGTCATCCTACAAGTTTCATCTTTTGTATTAAATCTTCACTTCTGCGCTCTGCGACTCCACGTTTGGCGCTCACGTACTAGGTTCCCGGCAAAGTCAACCGCCTTCCAACTTGAAGAGGCACAGTCAAGAACTCCCTTGATTTTGAGGAGATTCTCGATGGAGACGGTGGCAGTGGGTGGCGGAGCGGTGCACCCAGCGCCAGAGCAAAGGAACCTGGCGCCATCTCCTAGCTGGGCAACTTTGCGTTTTCCGCTAGCAGGTAGCAAGCCATAGATATTCGCGAAGCTCCAGAGGGGAGAAATCCTCAGCAATTCTCTGTCCCGCACTTGAAAAGGCAGAGCAGCGCTGTGCTGGAATAGACCGGGCGAAGCACAAATGCAAGCTTTGGTTAAAAAAAGCACAATAAACAATGGGCAAAAGTTTACTTTCTGTAATCTATTAATTCCAGCAGCCCATTCCGGGTAAAACAAACTCCTCTTGGGAAGCTCCTTTCGTGGGAGTTGTGGATGACCCCGGGGCGCTTCTGAGAGCGAAGCCTCTCGTGCCTGGGACGCCCCAGCGGTGTAGCACCCAGTGATCCCTCCCGGCCGTAAAGGGAAGAAAAAGAAGTTGGGACGGGAGCTAGCCAGAGACCCGGACAGCTACTCTTGGTGCAAAACCTTGGAAATGGCTGCTAAAGGGGTTGGGTCTCCAGATTCCTAATCCCTCCCCTTTCTCCATCTGAGCCGTTCACCTGCTACCGTCCAGTTTACAATATAAGCGTAGACCCTAAATTAACCCAGTTCCAAAAGCTAGGCATTATAATTCCCTAAGAAATTCATTTTAAAAACATCTAAGCGAGTTTCCGGAGCTCCTTGGGGGAAATGTTATGGAGGGAGTGGGCAAGGAAAGACGGGATGCGAGGGGATAATGTTCACGAAGCGATATGTAGGCTCCTCTATTCGAAGGACCTCGGGGAGCCCCTCAGCTCCCCAGCGAACTGCTGCAGCCACTTCAATTCTCCACTACAGAAGGGGCGGAGGTGGCCCCTGGAGGGTGGCGATGGGAACAGGGCTAATCTTTAGTGACCTCTCGCCGGGTGCCAAGGGGATGTAACTGGCCTCAAGAAAAGAGCTACGGAGTCGAAATGCCAGACAGGGCAGAGAACCGAGAGGTGGCTCAAAGGACTTAAGCGCGTGCAGCGAGGAACTGCCTGCCGGCAATCCGCTAACTAGAGAGGACTGATTGACTCTTCCTGTCATCAACATCCCTGGAACCCCTACTGCTCCTCACGTCTCTCGACTTTTCGCTAGCCAGTGGCCCGGGGCCGCGGGCGCAAGGCTGGGCGTGCGTGTGTAGCTGCGCGCGCGCGCGGTTGTGCGCGCCTGTGTGTGTGCGCAGCCCGAGCTCTGAGCCTGGCCGCCGATCCCCAGCCGTCCGCCCTGCAGCCGCCTCCTCAAAGCCTCTTCACCTGGCGCCTCCACCCGCCGCCAGCCCAGCCCCGCACCGGCGCTGCCTCCCCTCAAAGTTTCCCCAGCGTAGACACCTTCGCGCTGCGGCAGCCCAGGGAGACGGCGTTCTGAAGCTGTGCCTTAGAGTGGCTCTTCTTACACCTCTCCGCCTCATGCCCACCTAATTCGGGCAGAGAGTAGAAAATTTTCCAAATTAAGGGGAGAAAAGGGGGAGGGGCATTATCGAGAGAAAGCGAGAGGAGCGGCCGCAACTAAGAATATCCTGCCTGATGCCAGGGAATTGACTGACGTGTCTGTGGGGTTACGGAAGAAAACTGAATAGGCAGCCCAGTTGGCCGAGGAGGGGCTGGGAGGCTTCCGGGTGCCGGGAAGGTGGTCCCGGTCTCCGTTTCCACTGGCACGAAGGCTTGGAGGAGCCTCTATGGTGAGGGCTTTTGAACCGCCATCCCCTCCTGATCCCTTGGATAGGAGGAGCCGGCAGAGCTGAGGCGGGGGAAGTCCAGGAAAAGCCCCTGGACTTGTGTGCGTCGCATCCTTGGCTTGGGATTTTAAGGACACGAAGGAGAATTAACAGCACCTCAAGGTAAGAGGCAGCAAAGCTGCTGCTTGAATTGCCAGAGACAATAACTTAAAATAGATGTTGGAGATGGGGTGGGGGTTAAGTCAAGTTAGGAGGATCTCTCTTGGCGTCGCCATGCGATCGCACGACCCGCGCTGGGAAGTCAGGGAGTAAGTAGCCGGTGCTGCGTTGCCCAGCTGGGAGGCAGGAAGCCGGAGAGTATCCTGTCCTTACACTTTCTGAAACCTATTGGAAATCGATTTCGGGCTGGGTTCTCTGTCGAGGTTGATATACAGCGTGGATTTGGGTTTTGGGTTTTCATTTTTTTACCAGAGAGTTTTTAAAATTTTATTATTAGCACCGCAGACCCACCCCCTGATTGCCATAGAGAGCTGTGGGCACCGGTGAACGCAGCTAGGACGAGGTGGCAGGTGAGCCTGGCGCAGGTGGGCTGGTGGGAGAGGCGGCGGCACCTGGCCGGCGGACTCGGGGGCGCGCGAAGCTCACGCTCCCGCCTGGCCGGCCCCCTGCAACCCGCGTCTGAACCTGGGCGCCGCAGGTCGCCTGCAGTTCCCTTCGCCTCCGCTAGAGGCTCCCAGCGGGCGCCGCGGAGCGGGTGGGTGTGGGGGCGCCGGGAGGCGGCGGGGCGAGCGCGGAGAGCTAGCGTGCCCGCGGGGTGGCGGAGCCCGCGCGGCAGGGGCGGGGGACGTGAGCGGGAGTCCGGGCGAGCTTCCTAGCTCCGCGCCGCGCCGCGGGGACGCGGGTCCGAACCCGGCTGAGCTCTGGAAAGCTGTGCCTTGAACTGGAGCCACTTCGGGGATGAGAGCCTTGCCCGCGCCCTGAGGGCAGCCCCAGGAGGTAATGCCCTCTTTCTCCTCCTCTCTCTTTTCGCCCCCTAGTTCTCTGTAAATTCTCAAGTCAGATACTCAGGGTGGGAGGAAATGAAGGGTGAGAGAGAGTCTGTAGAGTCTGTATCTAAAAAAGGTGCCTTTCAGTGTCGCTCCGTGGTGCTCTGGTGTGTGTGTATTCACTAATGCCCGATTTCCCCCGCCTCCCTTGAATATTTGGCTGGTTTAAGGGAAGTTTTTTGCGGAGAACGCTGGGTGGCTGGTCTGGGCCAGGCTGCTCCGAGGTGAGCTAGGGAACCTGCTGTGCCCCCTTTGCGCCGCAGTGGACTGGAGTGCAAGACTCCAGGGATGGGGTGTGGTGGAGAAAAGGAGTACCACACCCTCTTCTTTTCATCTTCACCTGCTGGTGAAGTCTCCCCATTCAGCATTTTGCTGATTTCCTTTCCCGAGGGATTGGCTCAGAGGACAGAGGAAAGCTGCTGAAATACTTGAAGAGAGAGAGAGAGGAGAGATAAGGATGAGAAGGAAGTCATGGTCTGAGCATCAAAAGAGGAAGGAGGGCGAAGTTAAGCTTGTGTGTTTGAGGTGGGGGAGCGAGTGCTGGGAAATGGGCTTGGAGTTCAGTTTATTTGATGAAGTGAGATTCATTTCACATTTCACACTTTGACATAATCCAGTTTGCTGAAGCCACTAACAGATGTCATCTGTGCTATGTACTGCCTTGGGCTCAGTGGGCACTGAACATGTTTGATGAGTGTGTCTAAGCAGTAAATAAATAAATAAATGAAAGAGTGCTTATTGTGTTTGCTTGGTGTGATTACCCCCGTGTCTTTTAGGCAGCCGGTAATGTATGCATTTTTCAGTGTGCTGTGCTGTGTTTGTGCATACCATATGTGGTCATTTTACACTCAGTAATGCAATTTCAGGATCTTCTAAAGGTGGCTGTTAACAAACACGAATATTTAGAATAATACTAAAGGAGGACCAAAAATTACCATGGGGCGTGGAATATTCCAGGAATACTAAATAGAAGCTGAGGTCCATCATTGGTGAAAATATTGACCACATACTGAAAGGGCAAAAAATATTTTTCAGAAATTGGAAACAGTGGTTAACATTTTAAAAGAAGGAGATGTTCTTTAGGGCTCTATCACTGTCACCCAGTAGCATGCATTACTCCCAATATAGTTGGAGTGTGAGGAAGAAAAAAAATGCACTTCCTGTTCAAAACCAGTAAAATGTTTTGAGATCTGCCAGGTATTTCACCTTAAGAATTTAAATGGAATGGATTGCCTATTGATGGCAGAAGTGGTTTGGTTATGTAAGGTATCTGTTATTTTTGATTAAGATACATATATAAGTTAATATTTTTATATAATAAGTTTACTGTAGTGGAAATGGAAGCAGGAAAATTTATTGATGTTTTTCATTCCGGAATAACACACAGCATTATCTCAGGAAGATTTATATAAAGTTTGTCTTTCATGTATCATACTGGATGGTGCTCTGTGTGGAAGGCAAGAATATACATCTTGATGAAGTCCCGAAAAGGATGGTTCATGTTCTTAAAATACAGTGTTTTAGAAATTTTTATGACGTGAAAAAATGATACTCATTTGAATATAAGTACAAGTTATACATACACTAATCATTTATTTGTTGACTTAAATTTAGCGAGACAAATACATATTTAGGGCTCAAATGTACTTCTGAAAGACACCTCTAAAACCAAAGGAAGATCTGCTATTAAGACTCTGTGTATATGATGCATAAGGGAAGTTTTGTTTCTTGACATTTAATCGAATCAAACTAGTGAGGCTGGTTTGTAATCTCAAGTCAGCTTTAGGACTCCATCTCTAAAGATGCTTTCCTCTCTAATAAACGTGATTTTAAAAGAGACCAAACATTAAAATGTTCCACAGCCGTCATGGATCAGAAAACCATTTGAGTCCTCTGAAACCTCATGTCAAGAATAAGAAGTGATAAGAAGTTGTCACAAATTAATTGGCTTGATACTTCAATTAAAAACTGATTATGATCTGGCTCTGGTAGTCATTATGGTTGATTTCATTTGGTCTCTAGATATTCTGTGAAAGGACTCTAGGTGGAAATGTTTTCCTGTAGTACAAGGAGAGGAGGTCACTATATGCAAACAGGCTTGTCAGTTACTGATTCTCCAGTTTGGTTATGTTGTATCCTTAAGGAAGCATGTTAGATTGAAAAAAAAATCTCTTTTCTCAATTTACATAAATATTTCTCTTTGTCATAGCCCTCAACCAACCTGTGAATACTATATTTATAATTTTGTTGAAATATGTCACCAAGCCTCTTCCCTTTATGGTTCAGGGGCTACTTTGATGATAATAGCTTTAAAAACTATTTAAGCATAAAATACCATATTTCCTGAAAGAAAATAAATTAAATTTAAAAAGGGTTTGGGATAAGGAAATTAAGGGAGAATATGAGGGAAAGGTTAAATTCCAGGTATCAGGCTTACCCATCTAATGGCATATACTTCCGTGATTTCTTTCTTATTCTTCTAAAGAAATTTTCCCTTCCTTCCTTCCTTCCTTCCTTCCTTCCTTCCTTCCTTCCTTCCTTCCTTCCTTCCTTCCTTCCTTTTCTTCTTCCTTTTTTTTTCTTCAAAACATTTCCTTCAGA